AAAAGGAGGTCTCTGTGAAGGATATGGAAGAAGCATGTCCAGCAAAGTAGGTTGGAAACCTAGAGAAGAGAGCCACGGGTGAGAAGCTCAAGGTGCGGCCATGACAATGGTAGCAACACTAGGCACGAGAAGTGTCTACTGGTTCTGGACGTGGCTCTCTTTCCTGACTTCCGTCTGGGCCTTCGATCGATCGTGGCACAGAGCCAGCAGGGGATGGAGGACTGAAGGAAGGGGCAGGCAAGCAGTGCAAACAGCCCGTGTAGATAATTCTTTCAAGAAGCTTGGCTGTGAAGGGAGAGAGGAAGGGAAACTGAAGAGAGAAGTTAGACGGAACCATGGCACCACGAATATGTTCAGGTACTGATGAGGAATGCTGGTGGAGGAGAGGCTGAGGGTGTGAGTGAGAGAGAACAATGTGTGGAGGGAGGTTCCAGGGGAGATGGGAGGGCATCTGGCGCACAAGGGGAAGGTCAGCTGTGGCAGGAGCACACCTCTTCCCTGGCATGGGAGGGTGGAGAAGAGGAGGAGGTATGCTGGGTGGTTGCCAAGGGAGGACCTTGAGTTTCCTGGGGCCTCAGATTTGTTCCATGGAAAGGATGGATTCACTGTCAATGACAATGAGAGACAATAAAACAGATTCAAAGAAGGGCAGAGGAAAGAGGGACAGTCTGGAGGAGATGCCAATGGCAAGGGGGGGCAGTGAAGTATCCAGGGGCATCTGCAAGGGTTTCTAGGCAGCCTGGGGACCCAGGACTGTAATGGCTCAGATAGACACGGTGGACTGAATAATTCCTCCAGCAGCCAGCACCCCAGGAAGGAGCAGGCTCCAGAAGTGGGGTTCAGCTGGGTGGGTCCACAAAGAAGGATAAGTGGACAAGCGTGATTAGAGAGAGATGCAGGATAGAGAGGAAGGTGCCCCCGGAGTTAACAGTAGTCACTGGTTAGGTGTCCAGCAGAGGGGTCAAGGTCACTTCTGTATATAGACTAGATTCCCTCTGCAACAAAGAAAGTGATTGGAGGCAGGCGAGGTAATAACAGGAAGAGCAGGATTTTTAGAATCAGACAGATGTGGCTTCAAAATCATCCTTACCATTTCCCAAAATAACATTTGGTCTCTAAAATGTGAAAATTAGCCCAGCCGGTGTGGCTCAGTGGTTGAGCGTCAACCTATGAACCAGGAGGTCATGGTTCAATTCCTGGTCAGAGCACATGCCCAGGGTTGTGGGCTTGATCCCCATTAGAGGGTCAGCAGGAGGCAGCTGATCAATGATGCTCTCTCGTCATTGATGCTTTTATCTCTCCCCCTCCCTCTCTGAAATCAATAAAAAAAATATTTTTTAAGTGTAAAAAATACATGCTTTGAAGAACTTGTAAGAATTCGATGAAATAATTTAATATAAAGTACTCCAACTAGACATTACCATTTCCCAGGTGCCTGTCTTATTATTTAGTGCTCTAACTTCTGCTTTTAGTAGGTGCCTGGCACATAGTAGGCCTTCAACAGGTACAAATGTCCTCCTTCATCTGGTGAGGTTGGTAGTGTGGGCCTGCTTCCTGTATTCATCAAATCACCTTCTTTGGTTCTGGAACAAGCTCTCCTGAGACAACTGGTGTTCCCTTCCTTGACCTGTTCAATCTCAATTATTGCCATAATGAAATGGAACATTGATCTATATTTCCTTTCATTGAGCCAGCTGTTACTTAGTGATTTCAGGAAAGTATACATCATGAAGGTTGATCTCTCAGACCACAGAGATTCAAGGATCAAGAAGAAGAAGAAGAAGGAGAAGGAGAAGGAGGAGGAAGAGGAGGAGGAGGAGGAGGAGGAGGAGGAGGAAGGGGAGGGAGAAGAAGAAAAAGAACAATGACGGAGCCCAATACCACTCTTGCTGGGAGGCTTGGGCAGTAAAGGAAGAGGCTGCCCAACCCAGTAAACAGTCTGACTGGTCTGCAGGAGACAATCACATTGTCACCAGAGGTGTTCCTCTGAAACACAGAGCCAAGAGCTGTCCTGTGTTTTGGAAAAGAAGAAATCTGAGAGTGCAGCAGGCATCCAGAAGACAGGCAGTAGAGCACAGGTGGGCTGAGAAACTGGCAGACTGAGAAGGCATGAATAACATCAAATTCAGGTCCAAAGCACACATCTGTGGTAACATGGCACAAAGACATAAGCTGTTCCCAGTTTCTGCTCTCCCTTTCTTCCTTTTAGAAAGAGAACTCTTAAGTTGTAGTTGGGAGTATTTAGTTGGCCCAGCTAGCCATTACCATTTCCCAGACTCACTTGCAGCTAAGTGTGCCCAGGTTCTGCCAATGGCCTATGAGTGAAAGGACATGGCCAACTTCTAGATAATGTCATTTGAGCGGGGCTGTTTGCCCTCCAGCTCCATCCCTGCTCTTCCTCCAGACAGAACAGAAGGTGGACCGGATGTTGAGCCAGCTTTGACTATGCAGAAGAGAACACAGTAGGAATGGAGAACAACACAATGGAAGGAACCTGGGTTCCTGAATGACCCTGTGGAGTAGAGTTGTTTATTTGTCCTGACCATCTACCTCTTCTTAGCTATTAGACGAAAGACTTCTATTCTTTTTGGGGTCTTTTGGTTACAACTTAGCTCATACCCTACCTAATATAGATATTTCCCAAAGGTACAGAGAATAATAGTTTTTGTACAGATCGTGATATTTATTGAACGCTTACTCTGCTAGGCATTGTTCTAAACATTTTTTACATGTATTATCACATTTAATCCACACAACACTCTCAAATGAGGGCTTTTATCCCTATTTTACAGAAAAGGAGGCGCAGGGAGATTCAAGACTTTTCCTAAAGACTTGTAGCTAATGAGTGGCCTAACCAGCAGTCAGGCAAGTATGCTGGAGATCAAACCCTTAGTCACTATGTTTATCAAAGCATAACTTTCACAATTCTATGCAGTCAAAAGGACACACGTAGTTTTCCAGGGAGCTGTGCCTGAATATTAACTTGTCTTGCCATTGACTGCAGGATCAAGGCAAGGCATTTAGCTTCTCCACTAGTTGGTTCTCCCCAAGAGCGTACGAAGGGGGCCCACCCTATGGACCTCACAGAACTGCTGGGATGATAAAAAATGAACTTGTGTGTATTTAAGAAATGCTTTGAAAGCTGTAAGTGTGGCATAAATTAAATAGGGCCTTAAGGAAGGCTGGGGAATCCTTAAACCAAAATAACAAAACGCACTCAATTTTTTAAAAAAATGCAAATACCATCTAGCAATTTGGCAGGTCGCCTGGGAAGGCTGCTGAAATATGCTGAGGAGAGGGGTACGTTTGGTTTCCTGCATCTGTCATCCTCAACTGAAAATGGGAGAGATTAACTGAAATGAATTGAAAGAGAGCCGACCTGTGTTTGTGGCGTGCATGTGCACACACACGCACACGCACACGCACACACGCACACGCACACACAGGCTCCCAGTAGAAGAGATTCATTATTACGGAGAGCAGGAGTAGCAACAGTCCTCAAGGCCTGTGGGAAGCAGGCAGGTGCAGAGGTTGGGGAGTGGGTGGGGAATGCAAATGCCTTCAGTGTGAATGGGGACCTTGGGGAACAGGAGCTCCAGCTTTAGCCCCCCTGCTGCCGTGAGAGCCTGGTGTTGCCAGACCTTTCAGAATCACATGTGAAGTGACCCCACTTTCCAGGAATGCTCCAATTTACAAATAAAACATGTCAAGGGCCAGCAGTTGACCTCCCGGGATCTGGCCCTGTAGCCAGAAGTCACATTTGAGTCTTTAAGGTCCTTCATCATGATTATGCACAAGCCACAGGTGAGCTTTCTCTCAGCTCACAGCCTACCCCCCTCGCCTTCCCCCTCCGCCCTGCCTCACCCCATGCCACCTTCCTCTTCCTTCCTCCTCACCTTAACTCCACCCCTCAGGCGGGGCCAGCTCCCTCTTTGCTTTCTACTCTTGGACCTCTCTTCCCCTTCCTTTTAGCTTGTACCCAGCTATCTGGGAGACAAAAATGAGCTTCCCTCCTCTGCCTGCCAATCAATGCCAACATTCTTCTTTCTGCCAACATCATCGCAACCTGCTACCTGCCCCACCCCTCCCCATGCTGACTTTTGCATGTGTTCTCATGAAGTAAGGGGGACTGCAGGTAGCTCTCAATTGCCTTTTGTAATGAAGGTGGGGGTGGGGAGGCACAGATACTGCTAGAGAGGAGACACCCCCAAAGCCAAGTGGTTGTGCCTTTAGTGTTTGGTGGCGTACACATCAGAAGCACATCACTGTGGTCACTCGCGCCATGCTGGTCCTGGCCCCCAGTGGAGACGGAGACAAGCAGCACTTTGGCCTGGACAAAACCTTAAAGAAAATTCACTCGCGCCATGCTGGTCCTGGCCCCCAGTGGAGAGACAAGCAGCACTTTGGTCTGGACAAAGCCTTGAAGAAAATAGTCAAACTCCGCCTCCAGGTGGAGGTGATGACCTGGGTGCTGCCTCACCTCCGCCTCTTCTCTAAGGTCCCTGCGTGTGTCCTTTGGGTGCTCAGGGAACTTTGACCGGCCAATTGCCCCAGTGTCTGCGGCAGCCTGGAGTCCCTTCACCCCCATGGCCACCCCCCATGTGGGTCATCTAGCCGCATCACCTCCTCACAGCAAGCTCCTGCCCCGGAGCTGACAGGTACCTCTGACGGGTTTCAGTTTCACTTTCTTGGCCTTCACATGACCTGGGGATTCTCAGGGCAAAGACAGGGACCACAAGGCCCACGCAGGAGGGAGGACAGAGGGGAGAAAGGCTTCCCACACCTGAGCTATTGTCAGTCATCATGTGCTGAGCAGAGCCCGGACTTTTCAAAGACAGAAACAGAGGCCCGCCCGCACCTCCCTTGGAGGATTTCAGGAAACTTTCTGCCCTGCTCATTGGCTGTGCCCTGCCAGCCCCTGGGCGGGCTCTCTGCAGACCCCGCTCCTCTGGGAGCTGGGAGGGCGGGTCTGTGCTGTGTTCCCTGCCCTCCTGACTTACAGTTTGTTTGGGACGTCTGGCCTAGGGCTACACACAGTTCCTCTCTTTGTTTCCACAGCTCTGCAGAATGTGCTTCTCTCAAAAAGGCATAAAGGTCCTCTTTCTTCGGCTGGCCTGCGTCCTCGGGTTGTCCTGCAGGGCCTGGTCAGCACGCCCAGGCCAGCCCCAGGGACTGTCAGAGCCTCAGTCCACAGCCTGAGCTCACATGGGCTGTGCTTGGGGGTGTGGCCTCCGTGGCAGGCAGCCACCCCAGCTCTTAAAGCCGCAGAGCCTCGAGCGGCTGGGCGGGCCCTGCAGGAGTTGGCCTGCTCTCTCTGGAACGGGGACACGTAATGCAAGGGCTTGGCTGGCCTCACCCTGGGGACTTCGAAAGTTCTGATGCCAGGGTTGTAGTCTGGGCACCACGTGTCTCTCTAGGCCTCAGTTTCCTGGTCGTTTAACGCCCAATAGACGATGGCTCTTATGCTTTTCAGAGGGATGCCTCCTTCGAGGGGAAAGCAGGACCTGCTTTCTTCCGCTCTGGCTCCGGCTTCAAAGCCTCAGGACTCGTCTTTTGCCCGAGGATTAAGCCCAAACACCATCCTAAGTCACTCACCAAAAGGTCCCTGCCCCAGCCTGTGGTTTTCCCTTCCCCTCCTCCTCTGACTCTCAGCACAATTCACACACCTGAGCCCCTTGCAGGGTCCTCCCTTCAGCTCCAGCCCCTTGCATGCCCCTACCTGTGTCTGGCTCATTCTTTCTGCCCTCTGCCTCCATCTGGCTAACTTGTTCCCTTCCCATATGACTTGGCAGAGCAGAGGTGTGGCTTCCTTTCCTGGCTCCCAAGAACAGGTGAGGTGCCCGCTGTGTGTCCCGCAGCGCGCCCTGCTACTCCTCCTAAAGCCCTTACCCACAGGCATCGCCTCTGGAGACTTTCTTCTCTCTGCCGGCTGCAAGCTCAGGGTGGACACAGCCTATTTTCTTACCACTGCCATTTTAATAATATTGGAATGAGTGAGTGAGTGAGTGATAAAATAAATGGATTTAGAACAAACAAAATAGAAACAGACTCACAGATACAGAGAGCAGACTGATGGTTGTCAGAGGGAAGTGTTTATGTGTGTGTGTGTGGGGGGTGGGGGTTGGAGGGACTGGCTGAGAAGGGTGAAGAGATTCAGAAGTACAAATTGGTCGTTACAGAATAGTCACACGGACGTAAAAGTATAGCATAGGGAAAATAGTTGATAATATTTTAATATCTATGGATGGTGCCAGATGGGTGCTTGAAATATCAGAGGGAATACTTTGTAAAGTATAAAGTCTAACCATGATGCTGTATACCTGAAATTAATACAAAATAGCATTGAATGTCGACTGTAATTCAAAAATAAAAATTAAAGAAATGAGTGGCTTTAATAGAATGAACGAGTGAACGTTCTCTTTTACTATAGAATCAGAAACCTTATGTGGTGCAATCCTACCTGCCCAGGGTGTTGTCTCTGACCAGCGGGACCCTCGGGCATAACTCTGCTAAGGCCCATAGTGACCACGGCTACCCATCCCTCGCCTTCACCAGCCCCAGCTTGCCTACAGAGCCCTGGTGTCAAGCTTTCCCTGAGTGATGGCCTATTTCTAGAGAACGAAATAAAGTGAAAGGTAGTTGTTAAACTGTTCCTGGGTCACAGAGGAGCCAGATCCCATCTATTATGTTAAATTTTATTAGAAAAGTACTGAAGATGGGAACAAATTAAGTGTCCATCAACAGATGAATGGATAAACAGATGGTATGCACATCCAATGAAATATTATTCAGCCATGAAAAGGGACGAAATTCTGATACAGGCTACAATATGGATGAACCTCTAAGACATTATGCTACATGAAATAAGCCAGCCACAAAAGGACAAATGTTACCTGATTCCACTTATATAATACTAGAGGCTCAGTGCATGAAATTCTTGCACTTGAGGGGGTTCCCTCAGCCCGGCCTATGCCCTTTCACAGTCTGAGACCCCTCGGGGGATGTCTGACTGATGGCTCAGGCCCACTCCCCGCGCCGTCAGTCAGACATCCTTAACGCTGCCGTGGAGGCGGGAGAGGCTCCCGCCACTGCCACTGTGCTCGCCAGCCGTGAGCCCGGCTTCTGTTTGAGTGGCACTTCCCCTATGGGAGCACACTGACCACCAGGGGGCAGCTCCTGCATTGAGCATCTGCCTCCTGGTGGTCAGTGCACGTCATAGCGACCGGTTGTTCCACCTTTAGGTCAATTTGCATATTATATAGGATACCTGGAATAGACAAAGTCATAGACACAGAAAGTAGAATAGAGATAACAGGGACTGGAGGAGAGGAGAATAGGGAGTTACTGCTTAATGTGTATAAACTCCTGTTTGGGCCCTAGCCGGTTTGGCTTAGTGGATAGAGCATCGGCCTTCAGACTGAAGGGTCGCAGGTTCGATTCCGGTCAAGGGCACAGCCCGGGTTGCGGGCTCGATCCTCAGTAAGGGGTGTGCAGGAGGCAGCTGATCAATGATTCTCATCATTGATGTTTCTATCACTTTCTCCTTCTCCCTTCCTCTCCGAAGTCAATAAAAATATATTAAAAAAAGAAATAAATAAACTTCTGCTTGGGGTAATAAAAAGCTCTGCAAATGGAGCGTGGTGAGGGTTGTATAACATTATGAATGTATCGAATGCTACTGAATCGCACACTTAAAAATGATTAAAATGGTTAATTTTTATGTCATGCATATTTTACCATGAAAAAAACACACACCACTTTATTAGAAACCTGTGGCAACACCCTAACCTGCACCCTTGGGAAATGACTGCTTATAAAGAAGCAGAGCTTCGGGGCCTGAAATGCTCCTGGGCCTGGCCATTCCTTTCTGGTTTCTTGAGGCCCAAAGCTGAAATGCAGAGTCCCGGAAGGTGAAGTTGTGTGGATGATCAGAGGCACCAGGAATGCCAAACATTTACAGCTGGTTTCTTCAGTGGCTGAGATCCAGGGAAAACTGCTAAGGGAGACATAGTCAGGGAGCATCAGAGCGTGTTTGGGGAAAGAAGCAATTGCTTGTGTCCAAAGAATTTAGAAGTATAATCAAGCTATTGTGTGCAACTGCTCAGCTAAAATGAGGCCCCCTCAAGAATTAAAAATTAAACCCAGGTAACTATTGTATGCCAGGTAATTGTGGCTGTTTAAAAGTGAAGAAAAGGAAAGGCAATTGAAGGGACTCAGTGGGTGGCAGGAATAAGAATTTAGGATGCTTTTTTTCCAAAGAGGTGCCTCAACCTGAATTAGACATCAAATTTCCAGATTCAGTCACCTCCAAAGCTGACTTGTCCTCTAGTTGAAATCAGGTTTCTGCAAACTGCGGAAGAGAGATCAAAGTCCGTTTCTTGTCTCAGCTCCACGGTGCCGGCGTGTCCAGGCCCTACCTGACACCTCAAGGAGAAACCATCAGCCCTCGGCCAATACTCTGCAGCCTCTTTTTGCTCCTTGTGAAGTCAGCCCAAGAAAGTTTACTTGAGGGCAGGAAAAATGCAGGTTCCTGTCATCTGCGTCCACAAAGGTAGCTGGGAAGGGCTTGGGCTATGGTTTCCAGCTGTGTCCTGTCCAGGCTGGGCCTCCAGTGGAGTCTCCCCCTTTGCTGGGTCATACCACTGTCTCGCCAAGTGCATTTGCACTTCTCATCTCCTGTCTGCCTGGCCTCTCTCAGGGAAAGGAGGGAGCGGGGAGGGGGTGTTGAATATTACAATCTGAACCTCACCCCCCAGGGATGAGACCCCCGGAGTCCAGGGGAGCCAATGCATAAAAACAGCCAGGCCTCAGAGCCCCTACAGGTCCAGGGAGGGATATAGGGGCAGGCTTAGTCATTTCCCTATCTTCAGATCTCTAAGCTTTACTTCTTCCAGACAACTACCTGACCTCTCCCCCACCCCTGCCCCGACCCCGCCCCAGACCAAACCAGCAAGCACTTCCTGTTACAAGTTCTCAGAGCTCCCAAACTTTGTCCTTTAAAGCACTCATTACTGTATGAAATTCTAAATTCATGAAATTATTAGATTATCTGACTCTCCCACTAGACATCAAGCCGCTCTACAGCAGGAAATGCACCTGTTTTGTTGACGGCCGTGTCTCCTGTGCCTAACAAAATCACCAGCACATAGTAGGTGCTCAATCACCATAGTAGGTGCTCAATCAATTCTTGTTGACTGCATGAATCAATGGGAGCCAGAGGAGATGGAAAGGGTGTTCTGAAATATTTGAGTCCTGAAAATTAAACTTGCTCCCATGTTAATAATAGCTACCATTTCCAACCATATTAGCAACTGTAACCATTTCCTGAGTTTTTACTATATGCCATGTTCATGGTTTATCTAATTTAGGGGTTGTCTCATTTGACCCTGAAAGCTATGCTCTGGAGCAGATGTTACAGAAAACCAGAGAAGAACCAAGCAACGCTTAGAGAGATGGAGTTACATTTATTATTATTATTACGCGCAGGCCCAGAGGAATATGTCTCTCAAATTCTGGGCCAAGTCACACAGGAAGTTTCCTGTATTTATACCTTTTTACCCTCTTTGTCTCCCAAATATGGGGTTTTCCGGTCCCCTTTGCAAGTTCTTAAAGAGCCCTATGTGCTGGGGCTTTGAGACCTCAACCAAAGGCTTGTCCTGGTGCCAGCACTGATAACTTCGTCTGGGGAAGGTTTGATGGCCTCTCTGAAATGGGAGTAGTCTTATTTTCCTTATTATTTAAGTCAGCAAGCATTTACAGAAGCCAAAATACAGGGTTAAAATGTCAAACAGCAGTTTTTATATAACATGGATGCTTCCCAGACACTATAATTCCATATCAAATATAAGAAAACTGGCCCAGCCAGCGTGGCTCAGTGATTGAGCTTCAACCTATGAACCAGAAGGTCATGGTTCGATTCCCAGTCAGGGCACATTCCCCAGGTTGCTGGTTCGATCCCCAGTCGGGGGCGTGCAGGAGGCAGCCAATCAATGATTCTCTCTCATCATTGATGTTTCTATCTCTCTCTCTCTCTGAAATCAATATAAATATATATTTTTAAAAAGATAAGAAAACTGAAGCTCTGAGAAGTTGCTAAGTGTCTTGCCCATGGCCATACAGACATCAAGTGGCAGAGCGAGGATCTGACTATGGCTGGGTCCTTCATACACATACTAGTAACGGCACTTCATCCTCATGGG